GCGCGTGGTCTCTATTAAAATTACAACTGATGTTAAACTTGTTCTAATTATAAAATTTAGTTTAAAATCTCAAGTATGATAATTGGGTAGAGAGTTCAGATATTAAGATTCTTCAAAAATTTTTTTCAATATATATATATGTAGGATATTCCATTTGTAAGAAGTTAGATCATATCACATTTACCGAGGTCGGCAATTCTAATCAAAACAGTATTCCACATCAACGCCATCTAGCGTCCTTTTTGAAAACGCCGACATGNTTATCAGGTTTTTCTTCCGCGTGTTGTATTAGGCTTAACTTTTCAACTTGGTTTTTTTCCCTCCTATTATGTCGAAAATTTCTGCTGTACGGGGAAGGTTGGATCCATAAAGCATTGCTAACTCATTCTCTGGCCTAATTCAGCGACAGCTTTAGAAATCAAAATAGGTCTCCAGTTTAGTCCAGACTTTTTTGTATCTACATTTGTTGTGTCTGGTGAATTTTCCAATTTCTTCCTGCTTTAGCACTGTAGGTTCTAGTACTTCACTTTTATTTTATATATATATATATATATATATATGAATTCTACAATGCGTGTACTTTTAAATCAAGTTCATTTTCTTTACCTATGTGCATTTATTATTGTTGACAAATTTGTGTTTTTAGAAGAAACTTTTTGCGAGAGAAACAAAAGTTGGCAACAGCGAAGCTCATGAACCTGATTGGCTGGAACCACAAGATTTTATCTATCATACGACTATGACGTCACATGTATTTAGCCAATTAAACAATTTTGAGTTGTCGGCTCGGTGGCTTAGAGGTAGCGTGACCGTCTCGTAAGCCCAAGATTGCGGGTTCGATCCCACCTGGAGTATATAGATTTTCTTGATGCAAAAATCGTAGGTACGCTTGTCATATGATTATGTATTAAGAAATCCCTAGAATAACAATTTGTTTTTGGTACTTTGGGCAAAATAAAATCATGGCAATATTCAGCCTCCGACGAGAGCTTGAACTGAATAAATTCGTGTCAAAATTTAGTAACAGGGGCCGCCTATGAAATGGCCTTCACACTTAAAGGACTTGTCATACCTGCAGCTGCCAAAATGCAGCCTGTTATAAAAAGAAAAACAATGCTAGGTTATTTGTTAAAATGATAAATGAAAATTACAGAAAATGCTGGTGCACATGTAGCAATGGATTGTTAGTGAATAAATCTTTTTATCGAGATTCAACAAAATGGATGGTGTCTCTGTAGTCAAGTGGGTACTCTCACAATCTCATGGTCTCAATATTTTTTTAATTTACATTTATTAGTGATGATTTTTAAGCTTAAATATTGTCTTATAATTTAAAACTAAAAGTAAAGAACAACAATGAGGATTACTGTATTCAATCGAGACAAAATAAAAGTTTATCTTAGGAAGTAATATGAATTAACTTCTTAAACTTTTTATAGTTTGAGTCCCGTTGAAAAATTTTAAATCATTTTCTTTCTTGGGGGGAAAATGTTTCTCTTGAATTCTCTCGTAAAATTAAGTGCTTTTAAGCATGAGTTCAAAGACATGTGGCATCCGTTAGGAAATAAGGTCGTTTAGTGGAGATTATCAAGTTCACTTTTATTTTGTCCATTAAAAAATTCCCGATCAATGCTCACTTCGCACGCGCAGGAAAAGTGGCCTTAACAGTACTTTACCCATGATTTCGCAGTTCAACGACTCTCAAAAAGACACTTTGTCACGAAGGAGACGAACTCGACCTTCTGTAACTACATCTCTCAATCGTCCTCTTTCTCTTTTGTCGAGGAAAACCCTACCATTAGGTTTAAAAAAAACAATCCAATCCTTACAGGAAAAGTCTGCAATCATGCAGCACCCGCTGGCTCATGACAACCGGAGGCAGAAAAATTTTTGGTGGGTGAAAATCCCGAAGAAAAACCATAAAATCGAAAAGGAAACCTTACAAATCATTTTGAGCTTGAATATACACATTAACCCGGGTCAGATACATATCTAGCCGGCAGAGATAAAAAAAAAAGCTAAAATCAAGGTCGTTGGAAAGAGTCTTAAGGTCCATAATTTTAACGGTCCACATGAACGTTTTATGGAGGGATGTCTGGAGTTTCTTGTTGAGGCTCCATTAACGTATGTCTACGGTCCACTGGTAGCGTTGTTTGATTTTTCGGATACTTCTCTTTTTTCTTTTGGTTTTTATACATTTTTTTGTTGTTTAATGACTTGAAGGTGTTGGATAGCGGAAGTTCTGATCTGTCAGAGTGTCGAGGCAGCCATGCATTTAAATGTGGAATATTTGACAAAAATAATCCTTCTCTTAAAGGATTGTTTCACATTTTGTTACCTCGGGTCACATCTGAAAGTGGAAAACGCTGCCTGTAAGTTTGATTAATATGTGATTACACTGATGGCAATGAGAAATTTTTAAATAATCGTGTGTGTGGAACGTTTTGTTTTCTGGTAAGGATAATTAACCATGTTTTAATAGTCAACGCTGCCATCCGTATCATCGTCGGGCACTAACTTGTTTAAAATCGATACTTGTGTTTTCGAAAACGCTGTTTTACATTCATTCGAAAAAGAACATTGTCTGCATTTATTTATAAATTTAATCCGGTGTCACAGTATAAACATGTTAGCATAAACAACTTAATGAAGTGAAACATTAAATTATATGCGCTTTGTTTTAATTTCCGATTTGCATTTTTTTTTTTTTTTTTCAAAAAAAAAGCGTGTTACCGCTCTTGTTTATAATAACTAACTGTCCAAAGCAGCAGCAGAGACCTCTAGCGATTGCGCATCTTCAGCAAAGGACAGGTGAGGAGACAACGTGGTCGTCTACGTTCTTTGCTCATGATTTTTGTTATGATATGTGTTGTATTAGTGAAACCTAACTTAAATTAATAAATTATTGCTACACCAACGCGGAGACTTCATTGAAACCAAATTAAATAACCATTAATTATTTTACTCTGAATTTAGAAGAAGGAATATTGTACATTTAAGATGTATGATAGAATATATTCCGAAGCTTCTGTGAAGAATAATAAAAAAACTTTAAATTTATTTTTACATTTATAGCTTTAGGGGATGATTATCAAAATATTTTATGGTCCATTATGCATAACTGGATGATAAAATTTGTTCTCACAGAATGAAGTCTTTACGAAATTTTACCCGAATAGAATAATCTGAAATTTTAGATGTTAAAATCAAATTAGAAATATTGATGATTTTTCTTGATTCGTTTCTTGGATGAAATGTAATTTTACATATATTTTCTGCATACTGTAACCGAAGGTTATGATTTGAATGAATTAATTTTTTGAACAAATGCATTGAAAGCGTTGTTCACAAGTTAATTAAATCAGATTAATAAAATGTATAGTATGAATTAATTTTTTTGTACCAGTTTGAATTATATTTTCAAAGATATATTTTTAAAAAAATCATCTGCAATTTTTTTAATTCCATAGATATTTTGAAAATATATCTTTTGAATCATGAAAATCTAACTTATCGTAATTCATCTTTCTTTTTTTGCTTGTTGATTGCGTTCGTTAGAAAACCATTTAGAGAAATGCTTAGATTTCAAGCGATGCTGATGAGATTTGGTAGTTTCACGTGTTAAATTTATTATTTATACTTAAGCTCAAATATTTTATATGCAATCATGTTAAAATTATAACTTATATACATATAATAAAGTAAATTTGCTTTCAGTGATCTAGATATTTTTTTTATTTATTTTCATTTTCTTTGTTACGTTAAAGATGTGAAACAACTTAACAATTTAAATTAAATACGAACAACGTTGCAAATAGTTATTTAATCACAAAGGACGTTATTTTAGAGTCTTAAATAGAGTAACATATATCTTAGTGAGCATTTTTCTCAGTTTGAAGAATTCGGAATTTTTTATAAGGAGGGGAAAAAGAAATTCCCCAAAATTCAAATAAAAGAACGTCAAACCGAAACATCACTAAACCAAACAGCGTTAAGTGGGTTCTTACTGTAATTCTTTGCATTATTCTTTTGTGGAAGTAACATATTTTCTGATTTTTCCAGGTACAAATGTATTGTTACAAATTTTGAAAACTTACATATTTTGGCCTGGAAGAAATATTCACTAAAGAAAGAAATATCTATCTATATGTTTCTTTAGCAAATAAATAAATAAATAAATAAATAAAACCCGCTTTTTGAGAGTATATCGATTTTTTGCTTTTTTTAAAATGTCATTTTCAACTAAAATAGAAATATTCTTGTTAAATCTGCATTATTAGCATTCGGTTCCGAAATCTCTTTTAATTTATTTAAAGTAATTACCTCATTTTTTTTTCTGCGGTTAACTGAAAAATGTTTCTTTTAATGAACACCAGAATGGAAGGTTAATGGAACATAAAGTCACGAAAAATTAATTAAGCGAACAATTAAAGAAACATTATACTTATTTTTCTTAGAAAAATCTTTATTTTATTAGACTTATAAAAAAGAAAAAACTTGGGTGGTACTTTTTAAACGGCGTAACTTTGTTAAGTTAATACTCTTCTTCAAAGTATATATTGTTACAATGTAAGCCAAGAGTCTACATTTTTAAAGAAAACATTTGTAGAAAAATATTGTTTTTTTTAAATTATGCATTTTAATTTAAAAAAAATATTATGTTGCGTTATTTTATATCACAATAAATGCAATATTAACTTAAATAAGTAATATAAAAAAAAATTTTACAGTCAATTCCTATTAAGATCAACAAAGAAAATTTTTATTTTAGTTACTTTTTATTAAACAATTAAAATTAATATAAATATGTATATACATATGACAGAATCACAATATTAAGTGGCAAAATAGAAAGCGATTTTCCTTGCAATTTTCCATTTTCCTTTCTATATAGGGTGTTGGACTATTATTCTTGTTTGTTACTATTTATGTGTTCATTAAATTTAATTATTCCAATAAAATAGTATAGTAAAAAGAAATTACATTCTCGGAAATTAGACAATCCCAGGTGGGATCTGAGCCCACGACACTTGGATTAGAAGTCCAACGCGCTATCCATTGCGCTACAGGGACAGAACGAGCGATTTTCATCTTTATGTATGGTGTTCGACTGTTATTTTTGTTTGTCACTATTTATTCATTAATTTAATTAAATTAATGAATTAAAATTTGAAAAAGGTATTAACTTATTAAATCATCCTTATAAATTTGTTGCCAAAGCAAAAATATTAGCAACGGAATTTTGAGAATTTTGATCAAAGCTTCTTAAAACACGACGGATAGAAAAAAAACAAACAAAAAAACAGATACTTTTTTTTAATAAAAAAGACTTTCGTACATTAAATCTTCTACAATGTTTCTATTGAAACTGCCTGGAATCTATTGAAGACGGGATGGAAAATATTTGAAGTTTGTCTCTTTATTACCTCACGATTTATTTTTATTTTGCCTCTATCTCAGCAGGGGTTCCCCGACGCCATTTGTCCGAAAAATCGTAAGTGCGTCACCCCTTTTCCTGTCTAACAATCAGAAATATGCAAATTACCACATCCTGCTTCTTTTATTCTTACGTGTCTGTAACTCTAGACTTAGCGACGGCTTTTCAAATCTGTAGACACCAGGGGTTCTTCCATCCATTGACTTATTAAGACTGTGGATTCATTTTTAAAGGATTTGATTCCTTGTGACAGGTGACAGACGATACGAGCGGATAAGTCATGGGGGTTGAATAATGATATTCCCATCAGGAGCCGATTGCTGTTTGTGATAAGGTCTTGGCGAGAATAAACCTCTTTTTGTCTATTTTTACTTTTACCTTCACATCATCTTTGCTTTGGTTCAAGGTCGTATGTTTTTATCGAAAGCTTTTGATATTTGGAAAGGATAAGTTTTACAACCAAGCGGACCATAGGGGGTTTATCGAAAAGAAAGATTTGTATTCATCTATACGTGTGGTCCACTTACGCCAAGGGTGGCAAACTCGAATGCTAACTTGGGCCAAACAAACATTTAATTTTAGTTGACCCGCAATATACAGAAACGTAAGTTTATTTTGAATAATATATTATAATAAACATTTTTAAAAAAAACAAGAAAAACTAATGCTTACGTCCTGACAATTAACATCTCTTCTCTGCTATTGTCTTTCCTACTTCGTGGGAAGTTTTGATATTTTATTAAAGTATCCGACTACGTTCGGAACCGTGATTTTAAAAAAAGGCGCATAAATGGATAATATTTAGGATATTTAGTGTCACTTAGATCAGAAAATGTATATAAAATTGATTTAAGAATAGTATTACAATAAAAAAATTATTTAAAAGTACAATATTTTGGCAAAAACTGAACATAGAATGACCAATTTTCAAAATATTCTCCTTTTGGGAAAAATGCTTCTATTACTTTGCCTGTATATCAGTGTTTCTCAAACTGTGGGGGCGCGTCCTGAAAGGGGGACGCGAGCATATCGGAAAATCGGAAATAAAAAATTATTTAAAAAACTATGAATTTACTAAAAGGAAACAAAAAATATATTCTGACATAACAAAAAATAAAATACACATTTACTCTGATATACTGTATGATATACTATACTTATAAATGTATCCGGAAGGCACAATGTATTTGATATTAAGTATCAATATTAAGTTAAGAACAAGTTTAATATTTACTATTGATTTTTCCATGGGCTTATCATGTACAAAATTGTATACAAAATTTGATACTTATGTTGATAATTTGCATGGTTTATAATTAAGATCGCATTGTAGCTTTAGCATCAAAGTATTTATACATTATTACTGCATTCAATACAATGTTATTGTATGTGGGGGGGCGCGATGAAAATTATGATTGAAAACTGGGTCGCGAATATCGAAAGTTTGAGAAGCACTGCTGTATATAGCTCAGACCTGTGTACAGAGGATCAACTAGAATTTTTGAAATATATAACTTAGAAGTGGGTTTATCCATGTTTTACGACACAGAAGGGAGAAATTTTATGAAGTTAATAAACACTCTTTTTTTCACTCTTTTTCAAAATCATCTTGGTGAATGGGTACGATGTGAAAGAGTAAGAAAAATAAAGCATTCAGATAAAGCCGTTATCAAACAGTTATGATTTGGAAGATCGCCTAATTTTCTAAGGGATTATTGTGTAATTCTACAAAATAAGCTAATGAAACTAGATGCATTTCGTTAATTAAATTCTTGGTCTTGATGAAAGATAACTTAATGAAAGGATAGTTTAGTGATAGACGCTTTGCACAAAATATTGGGAATTTATGCTTAAACTCTCCATTCAGAATTACAAGGAACTCTCTTTCGCATTAATTCTCAAGACTTTAATACGACGCCGAATGGAAGTTTTGGACAATAAATTAAGTATTGTTCTCATATTCTCAACAGTTCGGAATTGAATGGACTTTACACTGTGCAACCTTGATCAAACAGACTATACATTAACCATATAATGATCATTATCTATTTGACCATTCGTAGACATGGCTGAATTGGTTATCTCTTAACGAGCTAGTATCCACATCATTAAGTAGGGGAGTTCATCCAAGAAATACGGCGCTATCCAATTCAGTCCGTTCACACACACACATGCAAATTAGAGACTGACTATCAAACCCAAAAGACTGTCATGCACCGAGAAACAAATCCGTCTTCGACAGGCGCTGGCTAGCCGTATGGCATCTTCGCCGGCGCGTGTAAGAGATCCTCGACACAAATTATCTCTGAGGAATCGAACTTAATAGTCTGGCGATAATGTATGCTGTCTATCATGTCGGATAAACGCCCTGTTAGTTGACATGTATTTCTGACGCGTTATTAACTAGATATTCCAAAATGTTGCTAGTTATGCTATTTAGGAAAAGAAGCATGCAGCGATCGTTAAACGGTGCGTTCAGTTGGAAAAATAAATGTTTTAACTATCTATATTTTTCTTATCGGGATTTATTTATAGTTTCTATAAATGTGATTTTTCTTCGAAAGAGACAACTTCATGCTAAATTAAGTTTGAATTTTTTTATTAGTTTAATTTGATTTGTGTTATGTTTTATTTAAAAAAAAATTGTGTTCGTTTTCGCGTAATGGGATTTGTTCTAATCGTTTACGAGAAGGGGAATATAAATCTTTTGGATCAGGGTTTTTTTCTTATTCTATTGCAATGCTTTAAAATGTTTTCATTACTGTATGTTTCATGATAATGGGTACCCAAGCTGTTGGCTGGCATTAGAATGCGAACTAAAAGTCAGTGAAGCATTGGTTGGAGTCAGATTTCTCAGACTACCGCGTTGTTTAATAGAAACTACTGTGTTAAATCTAAATTATGACAATCTATAGAGAACAAATTTGTAAAATAGGATTATTTCGCTCATATTTTATTTATATAATAAATGCAGGATACGATTAATTGAATATTAACGTCACACTGTTCAGCAACACGAGAGCTTTTGGCGACGGACCACGTAATTTTGACCCATGGTCAAGGGCCGGGGAGTCCCCCGGCCCGGGACCCCCCCCCCCTCTCCTAACTACCACACCAACGGGAGGACGTTTCAGCTCTCGACAGATTTAACGTGCATCACTGCCCTACACGGCGGGCCTTTAGCGGTACTGGGCTCGAACTCCTCGTGACAAGGCAAGCCACGAACAGATACCTATGCCACTCGGCTACCGCGGCCTAAATGTAGGACACGATCAATGCATTTTGCTGGTAGCATATATGTATCCTACATATTATCTTTTAAAACCTATTTGAAAATTGAGCTTAAAAATTTCAGAGTAAGGAAACAATTGGCTTCCTATTTAAGTTATCTCTAGTGTCACTGAAACCTTACCATGTAGGGGGGGGGGGG